CTGTGTGATTGTGGTAGGCAGTTAGCTGTAGAGCATACATTAACTACCCATAGTTTTGGCTTTGTCTCTTATATCATGGTTCTTATAATTACCAGGGTGCCTGCATAGACCTTTGGGAAGTTTGAATCTTTTAACAATGATAATTTAATGAGGGTTTTTAAATGTTGCAGGTTATTGTAACTGGTGCGATACGGTAGTATTTATTTTTGTTGCTTTGTGCTAACAGTTGCCATTGTTTTGATCACCTATACAACCTGAATACTCACGGGGGCCACTGCTGTCCTCTCCCATCAGTATTCTCCTCAACAGTTTCATATCGTTTGCAAACACACACACACACACACACACACACACACACACACACAACACACACACACACACACACACACACACACACACACACACACACACACACGACTTCCACTCTCCCTTCCTTCCTGACAAATTATTTACATACATTAGAAATAGTGGCCCTTTTTATTCTTGACCATCCTGACACTTCCTTATTTTTCATTTTTCTCTTATTTTTTTTAAAGTACTTTTGATCTAATGGAGTTGTTTTTCTTTCACCCTTTCTGTCTCTCTTTTAGATAAATATCTGGTGAAAAAATCAAATTCGTCCTTCCATTCCAAGATGCAGTCTAACCATCCATGTCTCCTGTTTTTTCTTAGTAACTGTGCTACTGAATTCCTGTAAGCTTGTCAAACAAGATTTCTTATTCTTCACTCTGGGTTGGCTTTCACTAAAGCTTATCTCCAGGTGCTTCAGTATCTTCCTCCTCACAATCTTCCTCGTTAATTTTGAGATGTATGTCTGTGGTACCAGTGCCTCCTGTTTGTTCCCTTTCAATATATATATATATATATATATATATATATATATATATATATATATATATATATATATATATATATATGCTTAATTCGCAAAACGGCGAACTTTTAATAAACATTATCTCTCATTGCATAGAAGGATTCAAACCTGCACACACTGTATCAGATTACACAGTGCTTTCGCCACTCAGCCAGATATATAGCGACCAATTTAGCAAAAATGGTAGTTTTCTCTATCAACAACATTTTGCTCAAGATCTTCACTATGGGTTTGCAAAGTGGTTCTGTTATCATGACTCAGGAAATAGTAATAACACGATTGAAAACCGCAGAATGGGTGGGGTTTGATCACTTGCCATGGTTTAAACCCCACCCGTTCGAAAGTTTGGTTCAGAATTCCTCCTTCAGTCCAACACGTGGTGTATTATGTTGAGTTGACTCCATGGTTTTCGTTGTTCAAATCCCTTTATTATTATCTTCACTTTTTGTGTCTGCGATTTTCACTAGTGTCGTTCTCTGAACCATTCATCAACAAATCTGTCAACACTCAATCTTTTTTTGTTATCTTACATACTTAGTCATCATATATTAACTAAGTATAAGGATGTATCACTTGACCCTGTTCCTATTACATCAAGTTTTACACTGTTGAAAGTTTTGGTTCTGTTCCTTCCTTTTTTGTACCTAATCAAATGGCTAAGGATTTTGTTCGTCCATGGTTTTCTTTTGGCTCAGATCATTCTTTTTTTTCCTTCACTTTTTGTTGTCTGCGTATCTTCCAGCGTAGGTTGGTCTTTCCTGATCCCACTCTTCCCAGGCAACAATTTTTTATTCCTTGGTAAATACCTCAATGAATTTTTTTTGTTTAGTTCTTCACATATCTTCGTCACCTTCAATAAGTATTACTACTACAAGTATCTTCAGTCTTATCACTTGACCCTTTCCTATTTATTCATCAAGTTTCTTACATTGCTATGAAGCAGTTTTAATTCTGTTTTAGCCTTTTTTGGTACACCTAATTTCAAACTGTCTACAGGCTTTGCTTCGTACCCATGTAAAGTTGTTCTGGGACCTACAGAGCATGGGTTAAAGGGTTATTGAAGCTTAGGTAGCTTTAAGAATAGTTGAGCAAATATGAGAGTGACTGGATATGAGAAGATGGTATGGGCCAGTAGGCCTGTTGCAGTGTTCGATGTTCCTCCAACCTTATGCTCTTTTGCGTGCTTCTCTGTGTTGCATATTCCATATTCTTATGCTCCTTTGCCTTGCCCTCTCTGCACGTCTGTTCGAACCAATTTCTCTCTCTCTCTCTCTAGTTCACATATGTACAATCATGTACTCTCATGGAACATGACTGTTCCATGAGAGAACATGATATGTACATATGTAAACATGATTGCTCTCTTTCTCAGTGTACTTTTCTCAATAAATTTTTCAAACATTCATGGTCTCCACTATTATAGTCTTTTTTTGTGTATCCTATTTTTTCTGGCCAGTTCCACTGTTACTAAATAATTGAAGCTTGGCACTACGTGATCACTTGTACTTAATGGAAATACACAAATGCAGTGTAATGAAATTCTTTGACAACGTTTCGGCCGCGCAGTGGGCTTTTTCGTGACTTGAAAAAAGTCCATTATGTGGGCTAAAGCTGCACTCTTTGCTTCATATTCTGTCCTTCGTTTCCTGCTGTTTGGTGGGAGGCTGCATATTACTGGCATTATCATTTTGGACCCTTCTGTTGTAAATGTTCCTTCTACGCACTTAGTCACTGAATCCTCCAGTATTTGCTGTTTAGCTCCTCGAATGTCCACTTTCTTTTACTAGGGTCAATCCTTCCCTGTTTTCTTATTATTTTCCAGAATGTGGTGTCCCTCTGGGAAGGAAAACTATGCCTGGTTGTTCCTTTAATATTCTCTCTCTTAGTTCACTGTTTTTGTTACTGACACTGTTAGCATTATGCCACACTTTGATATGTCCATCTCCAATTGGTTGTCTACCTCTCTGTACTGTTACTAAGTGTTGGTATTACTGTGAGGGATGAAGTGCTCTGGGGTGAAAACTGGAGTTAAGTACAGCAGTAAATACCTAGAGGTGGAGTGGGTTGGAGTTGTATATTAGAGAAGCTGTGATATGAAGAAAAGAAGGTTGTGATGTGTGAAGAAGTGAGAGGTTGTGATGTGAAGAAAGAGAAGGTGTGATGTGAGGGACAAGCGGTTGTGATGTGAGGAAAGAATGAGAGGTTGCGATGTGAGGAAAGAGAGGTGATGTGAAGAATGAAAGGTTGTGATGTGAAGAATGGAATAGTCACGAGTGTAACACTTAGTCCTATAAGTTGCTTATATGTGTTTACTTCACAGACTGTTATGTGAAGAATGGGAATATTGGAAGATTCTGATGTGAAGAGTGTGAGAGGTATCACTGTATGTAGACAGAGCAGTGTTGTCCATACACATCTTGGGGGGGGGGGGTGAATGAAGCCTAGGCAGTGGCGCATGAACGGCCCCTTGCATAAATTAGTATTTTAAACTATTAGTTGGTAAACGAATGTTTTTATTAATTGTACTTAAAAATAAAATGTCGATAAATTATGAAATATATTCTAAATCAATGATAATAAATAAAACTGGCCAACAATAGTTGCAGTTCACGCTTAAAAAACATGTGTTTCTAACTAATATTGTGATGCTGAATTCAAATCTGAATTTAGTTTTGTTCTAAAACGTACATTTTTTTTGTGAAATAGAACCCCACGGTGAACGATTTCACTAAGACAACCATCATGGAAAAGAGATGAAGGAAACCTGATGATCAGTTCAATGTTGGACTACTGCTGGACACTGGTGATGGAGAACCAAACTGCGGGAGAACCATACTGAACAAGCGAATAAACCCTGAAAACTCTCATGTAAATATGTTTGTATGACTGTATGGAAATTTCTGTGATTTTTGTTATCCATGTATATAAAGAATTTACGTTAAGAAAGATTAGTTTTGATCACTGTAGGCACCACATTCAGTATCTATGTATAATACCTTTGGTAGGTAATATATGTGTGGGTCTTCAACATTAAATAGTCAAATGTTGATCATAAAATTTCAAAAATTCTTACGTGGTAAGAGACTAAACAAGCTCAAAACGGTGATCAGTGCTTCAACTTTAGCTTAAAACAACCAGTTTGGTGTCTGAACCAGATAAAAAGTTTAAATTTTGTTGGCTGGTAATAATCAGTAACTGCTAGTAACTACTCATGAAGAAAATCAGAAGGTTCACTGAACTATGCATTCTCTTCTGCTAAGACTAAGTAATTTACATATCTTCCTAACTTTAACTAAATGGATAATTTATTTTTGTGCCCCTTTAAATATATAATATTTTTCTTATTACTGGAGTACTTAGTTTGGCTCTATAAATCTACAGTAAAATGTGAATTTCATCAATTATGGATGCTAATTCATTACTTTTTTCTATCACAGATTTTAAAAGGTGGAGTTCGTGGGTTGGGATAAATCTGGTTTGTGGAGCACAAGTTAATAAAGGGTAAACAACCCTGATCTGGACAGCGAGGAAGTCTCAAGAGTCGTACGTCAGGAGACGGAGTTCGTGGAGCTGGGTTGGTTGAATGCTGGGTGGGGTAAGATATATAAGCAGGATGGAGTCTGGGACACTGTATGATAGAGGGGGAGGGGGGGAAGGGGCTCAGCTGTGGGGTCAGTGAAGAGACGGGATGAACTCGGGGAAGGATAGGGATGGGATCGATGCTATTGGGGAGTAATGGAAGAAGAGTGGAGTGGGGATGGGATTATGGATATGGTATGGGTGAGTGAGTGGAAGAGACTGGTTGGAAAGGAAGAGACAAAGACATGCGAGGAATGAATGAAGAGAAGTAGAGGTAGAAGTTAGGGGAAAGGAGGAAAGAGGTAATATCTATAAGTAGTATCTGTGTGAAGACTGTGTGTAGGTGTGAGTGGGCGTGTGGTTGGTGGTAGGTAGGCATGTGGGTCATGGCACAAGAAGCGCGAGATACTGGGCCAGTGAGGGTATGGGAACGATAGTGACGCACTACGATAACAACGAGACAGACAGGCAGACACACACAGACCTCATCATTTATGCACAATTATCATAAGAGTCAACACAAGCGGCCGCCACCTCGCCTCCATACCTGTAGACTGGTCAGGGAGTAGTTGTTGTGCGGGTGTGGGCGTGTAGGCGTGGTCATCTTGTCCTGGTGCGGTGTGGGCGGGTGGGGCGTAGGTGGGTGTGGAGTGGGCGGGTGTGGGAAGGCTGCTCCGTGCGGGTTGTGACCACCAAACCGATGAAAGTCCTCAAAGGTGTTGAATCCCTGTGTAGGAAAGAGAGAAATCAGTGGTCGTACATACATATGTGTGTGTGTGTGTGTGTATGTATATATATTATATATATATATATATATATATATATTATATATATATATATATATATATATATATTAGTCGTGCCGAATAGGTAAAATTGGTCAATTAGCAGGAACTCATTTTCTCTTATACTCATTTTCTCTTATACGTTTAAAGATATGTTTTTTCATTTACGTTAATGTAAAAATTAATAATTTTGTATAAAAAAATTTAGAAAACTTAAGTAATCTTCTTATACCAAGCGCAATTTAATTTAGCCTAATCCAACTAAATATATTTTAGATAAGTTTACAATAATTAATAATAAACAAACACAGTGAAATATATTTTTTCGTTAGGTTCAGAATGATTTTTGTGAAATTATTGCATACAAAATTTTCGTGCCTTATTCGGCAAGAAGAGCGTTGCTATTTAAGCCAAATTCGCAAGTTTTACCTATTCGACACGATATATATATATATATATATATATATATATATATATATATATATATATATATATATATATGTATATATAAAATACATATAGGCAACATTCAGAATCAAATCACTCACTGGGTGGATAACCTCTGTTTCTGCATGATTTATAATGCTCATCACCTGGATGATGAATTCGCTTTTAGTGACGCAAAACAGAATATTTCTTAGGAGTTTGTCTATTTTTTTCGTCTGAGTTTATCTGTTGTGATGAGTTACATGTAATGTGTTGACCTGTTGTGATATTATATGTAATATGTTTACCTGTTGTGATGAGTTTCCTGTTGTGACTGGTTTACCTGTTGGTGATGAGTGTGGTGATGGTGTGGGACGTAGCCGTTCATGTGGGGGGTGGGAGGTCCATGTGGGGAGAGCTGGGAGAGCTTCATACAGTCCTGAGGGTTCTGGGGTCGCGCCGGACCACCCCAAGAGTCTGCCCCCAGCTTGAGCCCTTCCCCCATGGAGTCCACCAGCTGGTCGGCGTAGCGGTCGTGCGGATGGGGGTGGGCGTGGGCGTGGTGCGGCCAGTACTCGCCGCCCCACCCACCTATACCAGGAGACATGGGTGGCACCTGCATAGGAAGAGAGTGTAAAATGTGTACCACCTAAAATTAGTAGTGGTCACGTAAATGATGGTAAAAAACATGGAGTATATATGAATATCTACCTCTTAATGTACATAGATATACATGCAACTCCATATTATATTATTTATATTACCGACAAGTTGAAGAAGAATAAACAAGTGCAACATTTAGGTATCTTTGATGCTAGTAATAGTTTTAACGTGATCAGTCCATCATCCTTAGTAGAATGTTTTCAGTCCCTCAGGTCTGAGGGACTGACTGCCTCCTACCTCAGTCTGATGCAACTTAAATGGAAGAATGTAGCAAAGGTCATAACTGCAGTCCCTGGAGCTAGTTTGGAGGAACAGTCTGATAGGACAAAATTATTAAACCTTTGCAATAAATTCGCCTTAAACTAGCGAAACCCTGAATTAACCAGACTGGAAACACCCTGGACCTTATATTTACCAACAATGAAGTCCTGGTCCGAGACATAATGGTGTCGAAACTTAAATCTCAAACCACAACATAATCGAGGTTCAGACTTACGGGCAGAGTGGTCTGGGACAGACAAACATTATCCATAATGAGAGTGAATTCAAAAACTTAAATTTCAACAAGAACATCTACTTAACGGGATATACTGGGAGGACAATATAACCACTACAGATCTAAACCAGTTCTTTGGAAGGATGAGCTCACTGGCGTTCCAAGTATACTCCAGGAAAAAATACAAACAAGAAAGAGGCGCTTCCTCTACAAGCGAAGATGACGGATATCAAACTTTTTTAAAGGCAGCAGACTCTCTGAAGCACATAAGAATACTCAAGTTAGGAAAACGGAGAAGACTGAGCACAAGTGAACAACAACATATAAAGCCCAGGAGAGACAGGAGCAAAGAGCCATAAATGGAATTAGAAGAAATCCCAAATATTTCTTCTCTTATGTAAAATCCAGTACAAAAAAAAATATTCAGTATAGAAAGTACTTAAAGGAGATAAAACATACACTAATGAAGCTAAAGAAATGAATGAAATACTTAAGTCACAATTCAGCTGTGTTCATTGAACCACTTTTCAGTCTGCAGATAGAAGACCACAACGATTTTTTTCTGCACGAGACTTAAAATATAGCTGACATCCCCAAAATTTATTATGTAGCCCTGCCCCCAGTTGACCATGAAGAGGCCATTAACAGCATGCCCATGCATTCTGCATTAGGACGAGACTCGTGGAACTCCATATTCATCAAAAATATCGCAGAGTAAACACAGGCGGCCGCCACCTCTCCGCCATACTGATCAGGAGGTAGTTGTGCGGGTGTGAGCTTCTAGGTATGGTCATCTTGTTCTGGTGTGGTGTGTACAGGTGGGGAAAAGGTCGCTGTGGAGAGGGTCCTTAGTATTCTATAGGTCTTGGGTATTCTGTGGAGGAGCCTAGACACAGGTGTCATCTCTCAGTCATTAACACTGATACTGCCCCACTTCACAAAGGTGGCAGTAAAGTAATTGTAAAAAACAATAGCTCTAATTTCACAAGTTATCAAAATCTCTGAGGGAGTCCAGAGAAGATCGCCAATCACATGGAATCACAACAACTGCACACATCAGGGCAGCATGGATTTAGAGCAGAGCGCTTCTGCCTCTCGCAGTTGCTTAACCATTATGCCATGATCTTGGATGCACTGGAAGACACGCTAAAAACCTTCGACAAGTGCGACTATGGTATGATAGCGTACAAAGTGTATGCAAAAAGAATAATTTGAAACGTGGACAGATGAATATTTAGCGTCTTAAATATATCACAGCACCCTAATATTTTTTGCTGGTGACGCCAGAATCTCTATGAGAGTGGCATTCGTTAAGACATAGCAAATCTTCAAGAGAATATAAATCAAGTCTTCCAATGGATCTCAGACATAAATATGATGTTCAACGAGGACACGTTTAACTTGTTCCACTATGGAAGAATGGAAGAAATAAAGATTAAAACGGAGGAGAGGGCAAACTCAGCTCATTCAACAGAGCGAAAGTTCTGCGAGTGAAAATCTCGCATTCAAAGATCATAACAATGTTATTCCTACCGCAAAGGAAAAATGACAGCAGGATGACTAGTATTCCCACGAAAAGAAATGCTTATCTCATGATACTCTTCAAGTCACTTGTTCTCTACATGCTGGAGTACTGCTATATACTAACAATCCCTGGAAAGCGAGACCTGGTCGTAATGGGAATTGGAGCAAACAAACTCAGCAATAGACTATAATGAATGCCTTCATCCACTATATACAGGTATATATAATATGTACAGAAAGAATAACAAGTGTGCACCACGGTGACAAATGACAAAGCAGAAGTCAGAGAGAGTGTACCGTACTCATCCAGGAAGTAAGCAACTCGACCAGTGCTTACCGCAAGTGAACCACGTTGCTTCAGCTTTGTCGGGCTTGCCTGTGATTGGTCAATGAACTAAGGTACTGATTTAACTACGGTACCCTATCGATCGTCAAACCCTTTGCATCCGGTTTGCTGGTTGGGAGGCAGCCTATATGGGAGTGTGACATACGCCAAATAAATTGTAACATACTCTTTGCATGCCACACTGGAATACTGCTGTATACTAACAGCCCCTTGAAATCAAGTGAGATTGCCGAGTTAAAAAAACGTGGACAACTTTCACTGCTTCTATACATTCGGTCAAACATCTACACTACTGAGGACACCGGTAGTCCCTTCAATTGTATTCCCTGGAATGTAGGCGAAAAAGGTAGATCATAATTTAAATTATTACCTGGAAAATACTGGAGGGACTGGTATCAAACCTGCACACTGAAATCATTCCATATAACAAGAGACTTGGCAGACGGTGCAAAGTGCCTCCAATATTAAGTAGAGGCGCGACAAGTACACTAAGAGAGAACTCAAGTGTTAGAGGTCCCCGACTTTTCAATTACTAACGAACCCCTGACTGTTTTCAAGAGGGAATTGACAAGTTCTTCTAATCAGTCCCCTGACCAGCTGAGTTATGGTTCTCACATTGGTCTATGACCAGGTTGCAGGGGCACTCACTCCCAAAAAGAACCTTCAGGAGCGATGGGAAACGGACTAATCATGTTAAAACTGATTCTACTCTCTCCACTGTTGTGTACGCCTCAAGAAACCTGTTCCACAGGTGAAACGTTTCAACAGTGAAGATACCCGAATGTTGCACGTGTGTTGCATCATGAAGCTCCACCTCACACTGGTGAGATATTCAACCTAGAATTATTATTATATTCATGGGAAGCTCTACAATAACCTTGTGGGAGGTATGTTTATGCCGGTAAGACTGAAAGTACAAGCCCGTGCAAAGTACAAGGCCGTGGTAAGTACAAGGCTGTGGTGGGTACTCACTTGTGAATCGTGCATATCGGACTCTATCGCGGGGATGGGTGAGAGTCTGCCGCAGGAGGAGGCGTTGGAGGAGGCTCTGGGACGATAGTCTTGCGGGGAGAGTTGGCTGAAGGCGGGGTGGACCGAGTGGGTGTGAGGAGAGTCCGGGTACAGGTCTAGACTCTCACTCAACGATGACGAAGGCGACGGCGTAGTGTCCAGACCGTTTCTCAGTGCCTGGGGGTTATCATCACAACATTAGAATGCATCGAGGTAGCGTCTCGCTCTCGCGACTGACAGACGAGGTTCGAATCTCCATTAGTTCTTCTACTGAATAACTCCACACGGATTTAACACTTTACAGTGAGTTTACACCACATGATGATAATGATGATAATAATAATATAGATATTCAAGTAGATTTCCCTCAGCGTCAACCATCTTACCAACATGACTGTTTACCCTCTTTCTAAGTAACTTTATCTATAGATGACACGAGTTATTCTTCACGCATTGTTACTACCGTGAGTTACTTGTTACTTACTGTTCATATAGTATGACTACCATAAGTTATCCTTCACACACTGACTAGAAATTTAATAAAGGAAAAGTTTAGAATCCAGAAGTCTTAGCAGCTGAAGTATCCAGAGCTTCACAAATGTAGCAGTGAGATAGCTGAACATTACCAAATGATCGTACAAAATATTATTATTACAACATGAGAGAAGTTGTTAATTGTTGCAGTCACGTTAGTTGATCTTTTATTTGAGTGTTGCCACACTATTATTTATTTTTTTAACACAATGGCCATCTCCCACCGAGGTAGGGTGATCTGATAAAGAAGAAACACTTTCACCATCACTCACTTCGTTACTAACTTGCCAAAGGCGTGCCGTTACTACAGTTCAAATACCCCTCCGAACAGGAATATCCCCATCCCTCACTCAGAATGTAGGCACTGTACTTCTCACCTTGAAGACTTACCGGTTTTCCTTAATATATTTTACCTTGCTCACACTTCAACAGCACGACAAGTAATAACACGCTCACACACGCTTGTTGGATATCAAGCCTCTCGCATACAAAACCTCCTTTACCCCTTCTTTCCAACCTTTCCAAGGACGACCCCTACCCATCTTCCTTCCATTTCAGATTTACATCCCTCCAAGTCATCTGTTTTGCTCCATCTTTTCTAAATGCCGAAACTACCTTAACAACCTTTTCTCAGCCCTCTGGATAATACTTTTAGTAAGCCCGCACCTCCTAATCTCTAAGCTACGAATTATTATTCTTTCAACAAACCAGCCATATCCCACCGAGGCAGGGTGGCCCAAAAAGAAAAACAAGAGTTTCTCTTTTCAATTTTAGTAATGTATACAGGAAAAAGGGTTACTAGCCCCTTGCTCCTGGCATTTTAGTCGCCTCTTACGACACGCATGGCTTACGGAGGAAGAATTCTGTTCCACTTCCCCATGGAGATAGAAAATAAACAAGAACAAGAACTAGTAAGAAAACAAAAGAAAACCCAGAGGGGTGTATAATATATATATATATATATATATTTTATAAAATTAATAATTTATTATTATTTGACAGCATGTGTAATGTGACCTAAGTGTAAGTAGAAGTAGGAAGACGTACCTGAAATCTTGCATGCTTATGAGACAGAAAAAAATACACCAGCAATCCTACCATCATGTAAAACAATGACAGGCTTCCGTTTGACACTCACTTAGCAGTACAGTAGTACCTCCCTGGGTGATTGCTGTCAACCATCCTACTACCTACATAAGCTACGAATTCTCTGCATAATATTCACATATATTGACCTCAGACACATCTCCACTACCAGCCTCCTTGCTGCAACGTTCAAAACCCATGAGTCACACCCACATATTTGTGTTGGTACCACTATGCTTTCACACATTTTCCTGTTAGCCACGATAAATAATGTTCTTTGACTCCACAGATGTCACCCAGTTCTTCCCCTTGTCAATTCTATTATTTACCTTGTCTTTCATAGACCCCAACCGCTGGTAAGTCCACTCCCAAATATCTGAGTACATTCACTTCATACTCCCTCCTTCCAGTATGATACCTAATCTTTTATTACCTTTCATTTCTTTTGTTAGTCTCATCGCCTTGCTCTTTACTACGCTCACTTTTAATTTCCTTCTTTTTTATACCATCCCAAATTCGTCCACCGGTCTTAGCCACTTCTCTTCAGAAGCTTCCACAGTACCGTGTCATCGGCAAAAAAGCAACCGTGACAATTCCCACTTTGCATTAGATTCTAAATCTTTTAATCCCACAACATCCTAGGATTCCCGTTTTTTTACAAACTTACTTTTAAATATGTTAAACAACCATGGTGATGTGTATCCCTGTCTAGGGTCTACTTGTACTGGAAAATAATCTTCCCTAACCTGACCCTCACTATCCTCATAAAAACTTAACTGCTTTAAGTAACCTACCACCTATTCCATACACTTGCAACATCAGCCACATTGCTTTCTTATCCACCTGTCAAATACCATCTCTAAATCCACAAATACAACGAAAACTACCTTATTCGTATGTAAATATTGTTCGCTTATGTGCTTCGATGTAAACACTTGGTCTACACATCTCCATTCTAAAACCCCCTTGTCCATCTGCGATCCTTTTCTCCGTCTTACACTTAATTCTTTAAATAAAAACTACCATACTCAACATGTTTATTCCTCTACAATTCATACACTGTTTTTCTTTTTACATTCCCTTGCGTATAATATTGTTCTGTGACATCATGGCGGGGAACACACACTGTCTGCCTCTACCCGTGTTGTAACTGACTGCTTTCTATGGTTTTCATAGTCCCGCACACTGTCCGGTAGTCATACATATGTTGATCCCCTGATCAGTTAAATTATTGCTAAATGCAGCCAGCAGACCCATATATGTACCACAGCCTGGATGATAGACAGCGCAGAAGCTTGTCTAGTTTCTTCTTAAAGAATTTAACCTTTGCACATCCAGTTTTTCTTGCATATGTTGGTGGTAGCAGGTTGAAACAACTTTCTCTGTGTCTATTGCTCTTCTGATTTTCACTGAAGTTGTTCTAGACTTCATCCAGTGTCACTCTAGTAAGTTATTTTAGAGTGTGGAAAAAGAGAATATTTAAAGAATATTTCATGTATTGATTATTAGATTTCTCCTGTGTTCTGGAGGTCAACAGTTAAGGGAGTCTCAACAGATTAAACGTTTTACTAAGTCTGTGTGAGCAGTAAATGTTCTCTGTATATTTTAAGACCCGATATTTCACCTAAGTTGATAGATGTGAGAACAGAACAGTATTATATGCTGGAATACAAGAAATTAAAAAAGCACCATTACTGGCATAGCATCACTTGATTTAAAAATTTTTTTTAATCCATCCTATCAGTTCCCCTGGCCTTGCTACATGTAATGTGCTGTGCCCTCTAAACGTCCGCTCATCTGGTATTACGATTCCTAGATCTATGAGCAAATGTGACTGTAACTGATATACTTAACTTAGTGTCTCAGGTCTTCCCTTTGTAGACAGACACAGTTGGAGTTTGCCACTGGTGAATATATTGATATATGATTGTGGTTTATATGATGAGTATATTGTTATAAGGTGTTTTTCAGTAACGTCTACTGAAGTGACTCATTTTTTGGTACTAGGTATTAGGAATGATTCGTGAAATCGTAATGATACAAATGTAATTCACCGAGCAGAATATAATATAATAATACTTAGGATGAGGGTGCTACAGTTCGGAGGGTCATCTAAATTGTAATGTCAGCACGCTGCCGGCAAGACCACGATTGACTAGGTGATAGGGGATGTGTTTTCCTTTTACAAGAGTCACACTACCCCAGTGAGGGACGGCCGATGTGTTAAAATAAAATGTCATCATTCTCTTGTCTCCTCTGTCAAGGTAATATGCTGTCATGGTGTGTCACCTGAGCCTCAGGTCTCTCCCTTAATATATGGAGTGCTCGTGCTGCTTCTGTTGTTTCAACACACCGGTCGTCTCCCACTTAGGTAGGGAGAATAAACCCAAAAAAGGGAATATTCACCATCATTCACTGAATCGCTTCCCAGAAGTGTGCTCACATCAGTGTTCAGATGAGCCTCCGAACTGCAACATCCTCACTCCCATCCTCACTCACATCCCACCTCTATGACTGTAACATCCCCACCCTTCCTTTTGAGTTGAAGTACTGTACTTCCTACCTCCAGTAGTAGTACTATTTTACACTTGTTAATAAACGAAGCACTACAGGAATCAAGCCTAAATACTGGCCTTAGCATTTTCTGACATAGTTGTTTAACTATAATGTGGATAAATAAAGAAATGACGTTACAGTGCGTAGAAACACATTAATTGTCAAGCTTTATAGCTGACAGTAAGACTTTACTCCATATTTTTCCCTTAAAATTCAGTTTAAGAACATTTTTTTCGAAGTCTTTAGGGCTGTACTAATACGAAACATATTCCTAAGGTGGGGGAGTTTATGGGAAAAACTATCAGAGTTTTCTACTTTTTTTACGATGTTGATTAGTTAATGTTGACTGGTTTGTTAAACAGATTAATGTTTAAATTCTCTCATTTGTCGTCAGTTAGGGAGTAAATGTCTTTCTGAACCATAAGCACTTCTACCAGTACTACTAGTATCATTAGGACTACCAGCATCACCGGTACTAGTACTACTACTCTCATACTCCTCTTTCAGAACCAAAAACACTACTACCAGTACTACTATCATCAATACCAGAGTCACCAGTACCGCTGTCATCAGAATCTTTCAGAACCAACACTACTACCAGCACTACTAGTATAATCAAAACTACAGCCTCACCAGCACTAGTATAGCTCTTATTACAATCTTTCCAAACTATCAACACTACTAGTATCATCAAAACTACCAACATGACCAGTACCGTACCATTCTTCATATTCCTCATCATCAGTCATCACCATCAGTCATCATTACCCTCAGTCATCATTGCCATCAGTCATCATCACCATCAATCATCATTACCATTAGTCATCAACACCATCAATCATCACCAACATCATCAGACAGTATACTCACCTCCAGCTTCTTCTTCACTCTGCCCCTCTTCTTCTCATAGCGGCCGCCTTCCATCGTGTTGGCTCGCCGTCGCGTTGATTTACCAGGCTTAGCGTCTGGGTTCAGAACCCACCAAGACGACTTGCCCGTCCCCTCATTCTGAACCCGCATGAACCGGTTGTGTAGCGACAGGTTATGGCGGATCGAGTTCTGAAAGGAGAGAGAGAAAATGTAAGTTTTATTACTCCGAAAAGGTTGTAAATTTGACAACCCACAACTTATACTCTGAACGGGTTGTAAATTTAACTAGCCCACAACTTATACTCTGGAGAGGTTGTAAATTTAACAACTCTCAGCTTAGACATGGAAGCGTAGTCGGGGTTTCGGTCAGTCCTGGACCTCTTGTCAACGCTGGCAACTTGATGGTGGTCCAGCACGGACAGAAACAGACCATTTCCAGCTCGAGGATTAGTTGAGAATTATTACAACCATGATATTGTAACTTTCATTCTACTATGAAAATTATTGCAATTGTAAGACATTGTAAGTATAATTTATATTCGTAATGCATTATGAATTTCCATCTTTCAGTTGAACAACATAAACAGTACAAGAAATTGTTTATTGCTGGCTGTAGTCGTCTTACTATTTCATAACCTTCAGTACCAATTAGTTGATATACTGGAAATTGGTAACTACAGTTTTACACCGTTTTCCTGATGCATTTCTTTCGTTGTCGGAAAAGAGAGTTGGCAGGGATGGGAAGGGAGGGATAGAGCAGGGAGGAGGGTTGTGGGTAGGAAAGGTTAAGTGGTCTGACCACTTAGGGTTCGCTATAAAGGAGTATTATTTTTTTACATAGTAAAACTATTTAAGTTCAGAGGCGTCAGTTTCTGAACACTCTCAGTACACAGAATAACGAGTGGTTAGTGGTGTTCCGAACAGTTAAAAGATGCTGCAAGCTGATGGTGTGAGCTGGGTGTTGGTACTGTGAGCTGGTTGTTGGTACTGAGCTGGTGTGACGAGCGTTGTTGGTACTGTGAGCTGGTTGTTGGTACTGTGAGCTGGTTGTTGGTACTGTGAGCTGGTTGTTGGTACTGTGAGCCGGCTGCTGGTGCTATGAGCTGGTTGTTGGTACTGTGAGCTGGTTGTTGGTACTGTGAGCTGGTTGTTGGTACTGTGAGCTGGTTGTTGGTACTGTGAGCTGGTTGTTGGTCTTGAGCTGGTTGTTGGTACTGTGAGCTGGTTGTTGGTACTGTGAGCTGGGTTGCTGGTGTTACTGTGAGCTGGTTGTTGGTACTGTGAGCTGGTTGTTGGTACTGTGAGCTGGTTGTTGGTACTGTGAGCTGGTTGTTGGTACTGTGAGCTGGTTGTTGGTACTGTGAGCCGGCTGCTGGTTCTATGAGCTGGTTGTTGGTACTGTGAGCTGGTTGTTGGTACTGTGAGCTGGTTGTTGGTACTGTGAGCTGGTTGTTGGTACTGTGAGCTGGTTGTTGGTACTGTGAGCTGGTTGCTGGTGCTATGAGCTGGTTGTTGGTACTGTGAGCTGGTTGCTGGTGCTGTGAGCTGGTTGCTGGTGCTATGAGCTGGTTGTTGGTACTGTGAGCTGGTTGCTGGTACTGTGATCTGGTTGTGTCTTGCTGGTTGACTGGTGAGCTGGTTGCTGGTGCTATGAGCTGGTTGTTGGTACTGTGAGCTGGTTGCTGGTGCTATGAGCTGGTTGTTGGTACTGTGAGCTGGTTGCTGGTGCTATGAGCTGGTTGTTGGTACTGTGAGCTGGTTGTTGGTACTGTGAGCTGGTTGTGGGGTACTGTGAGCTGGTTGCTGGTGCTGTGAGCTGGTTGCTGGTGCTGTGAGCTGGTTGTTGGTACTGTGAGCTGGTTGCTGGTGCTATGAGCTGGTTGTTGGTACTGTGAGCTGGTTGTTGGTGCTGTGAGCTGGTTGTTGGTGCTGTGAGCTGGTTGCTGGTGCTATGAGCTGGTTGTTGGTGCTGTGAGCTGGTGGTTAGTGCTATGAGCTGGTTGTTAGTGCTATGAGCTGGTTGTTAGTGCTATGAGCTGGTTGTTAGTGCTATGAACTGGTTGTTAGGGCCATGAGATGGTTGTTAGTGCTATGAGCTGGTTGTCAGTGTGTCAGTGCTGTGAGCTGGTTAGTGCTGCAAGCTGGTGGTGGTGGTGCTGCAAGCTGGCAGTGCCGCCAGCTAGTGCGGTGGGAAGCACTACTGGGAAAGGAAGGTCAAGACAGCCGCCATTTGCAAGCGGCAACACTCTCCATTACCCGAGGTTAATGAGCCCTGAGGTGGCCTCATTACGATACGTAATTGAGGGCAATTACCCTATAATTCTCTACTTGGCTTTCTTATCCCAGTAATAACAAAGGTGTGGCCCGTGTCGCGTAGTAAATCCTGGGATTTAGTCATAATTTTCACTCATAGCAGGACATAAAGTTGAAGGTAAGGAAGGGGTTTAGTCTGAGATATGGGAAGACACGGGAGTTATCTGACAAGGTGGACACAGCACGTGTAAATATGTGGGTGGATACAGCTGTGTGTGGGTGACGTAGTGGCCAGGGTGTGGCCCTAGCCTTCAGAGAGGACTTGCCCTAGGTAAACACGCCCTCAGAACTACTATTCTAAGTCATAATTACGCGCTCTACCAACAACAACAGTGGAAGATGTCAGCTTGTTGGTGTTAAGATAGTTACCATGACCCTCTTCTTACCCTCCCACTATCCCGCTACCCCTCTCCCTCTCTTCCTCCTCCCCTCCATCTCCCTCCTTTCCCTCCCTCTACCTCTCTTCCAACCTTTCCTTCTTTGTAGTCCCTTCTCTCTCCATCTATATCTCTCTCCCTCTCTCTATTTTTCCAATATTCACGCACAGAGAGAGATAACACTGTATAAACTTTTGTTATTTTTGTACCAAATCTAACCTAACCTACTATTAACCTTGCCGCAATTAACATAATATAAACGACCTCAGTCCTACCACCTACATCTAAATTAAATATTACTTTTATTCTTCACGAAATAAATTATGTATTTCATCGTTGCAAGGTGTTGCAGCGATGAACTTACCAGCTTTTATCTGGCAACACGATCGTTGCTTTATAGGCCAAGTCTGCAAGTTCTGAATAGAAAGAATGAAATATATACAGAGAGCTGTGTATTTCTCTGTATATACACAGATTTTAGTATATATATTGTAGACATTAAAGTATTTTCTGTGTTAATTCCTTGATGAAATGTGACCTTAATGTACCTGGAACTTCAGGACTGGAACTTTAGGGCCGAGATTGGGGTTGAAGAGGTGAGGTGATGAGGGCTGAGCTGAGAGTGCATGCGTGAGGGGTGAGATGGTGAGGGCTGAGGTGGTGAGAGCTGAGATAGTGAGGGCTAAGATGGTGAGGGCTGAGGAGACAAACAGAGAAGGTAATGTGGCGGAAGATGAGAGGGAGAGGGAGGGAGGGAGGGGGAGGCGGCTGTGGTCCGGGAAATGAATCTTTGTGTGGCTGGAGGTAGGTTGCTGGAGCCGGGAGATGAGCAACAAGGAAATTACATGGAACCAACCAAGAAGCAGCGACACCTACTAGCAGGGCAGGAAGGAGAGGCAGGTGGAAGAAGCAGGAAAGAGAGGCAAGGAGAAAGAGCAGGGAAGAGGCAGGGAGAAAGAGCAGGGAAGAGAGGCAAGGAGAAAGAGCAGAAAGAGGTAGGGAGAAAGAGCATAAAAGAGAGGCAAGGAGAAAGAACAGGAAAGAGAGGCAAAGAGAAAGAACAGGAAAGAGAGGCAAGGAGAAAGAACAGGAACGGGGCAGGGAGAAAGCAGGAAAGAGAGGCAGGGAGAAAGAGTAGGAAATAGAAGAAAGGAGAAAGAGCAGGAACGAGAGGGAAGGAGAAAGAGCAGGGAAGAGAGGGAAGGAGAAAGAGCAGGAAAGAGAGGGAAGGAGAAAGAGCAGGAAAGAGAGGGAAGGAGAAAGAGCAGGGAAGAGAGGGAAGGAGAAAGAGCAGGAAAGAGAGGCAAGGAGAAAGAGTAGGAAAGAGAGGCAAGGAGAAAGAGCAGGAAGAAGACAGGGAGAAGGAGCAGGAAAGAGAGGCAAGGAGAAAGAGCAGGAAGAAGAGGCAGGGAGAAGGACCAGGAAAGAGAGGCAGAGAGGAGCAGAAAAGACAGACACCGGAAAGGAGCTGGAAGGGGGTGGGGGAACAGGGAGAATAGACAGGGGAAAAAGGATAATATAATCAGGAAGAAGGAACTCTTAACCGATTATCAGATGGTAAGAACTCCCTCCACCACAAAATTCAAACAAACCACAGAAGTGAACTCTCACTTGAGAGACTACTGTGCTCTGCAGGTTCAATAAAAACATCGAAGGTTCTCCTGACATCATGACTTAGTGACGGAAAGACGCTAGCGAATCTATAAACTACGAAACCACAGTTAATCGATATATTACAATGAGGACGAATGCATTTTGCGTAAAATAGAGAAATAGTGCCACTGCGGACATCTTTCTCAAACTGCTGGTCAGGAAGTGAATAATTATATGGATTACAACAGGAAGATCATGCTTATCACAACTACTGGATCATTATGACAAAATTGAGGCTACTTTGAAAGAAAGCTAAAATATATGTAGTCTACACTGACTTGGGTAAGTCACGTGATAAATGCTATCATGAAGGAAAAGTACACAAAAACGGCCAATAAGCATAACAGGAAAAGTAGGAAAATGAATATTCGATTTTCTAACGAATAGAAGAGACTAGTAGTGGAAAGAACAAAGTAAGTTCATTCACTCTAAAACCTGGTTGAACTTGTAGGGATGCCAAGGGCCAGTTATTACCTTCCGTTCTGTTTGGTACTTTTCTAAAAGATGATTCTCCTGGACAGTGGGAAGCAATCACGTTTGATCCGAGGAAGGGAAGGTTAGTTCCAATTACTCTGTTCAAGAGCCTTTCACCAATATTTTGTTTTAAACTGGAGGTGGGAACCTCTGAAGGAGGTTTGGTGGTGGGTAGTGTCTGCACTCTGAAGGAGGTGTGGAGGTGAGAAGTGCAGTGCCTACATTCTGAAGGACGATGGGGGAGGGGATGTTGCAGTTAGCAAAGTTAGTCTAAACTATGTGTCGGCACACTTCTCGCAACATAGTTATTGAATGAATAATGGTGATTGTGATTCCTTGTTTTTCGGGACAGTCTCCTTCGATGGGAGAAGACCTTCGTGGCATTGGTCCTTAGACCTAGAGTACGTGTGGCGTTCTTCTAGGATGCCAGGTTTCGCAGGCCTACTACATTAAGTTTAGTTCTTCACTATTACCGTATGTATGGGTCTTCACCGGGGTGCCAGGTATCGTAAGCCTACTACAGTATGTGTGGCTCTTCACTGGGGTGCCAGGTATCGTATTCCTACTACAGTATGTGTGGCTCTTCACTGGGGTGCCAGGTATCGTATTCCTACTACAGTATGTGTGGCTCTTCACTGGGGTGCCAGGTATCGTAGGCCTACTACAGTATGCATGGTTCTTCACTTGGGTGCCAGGTATCGTATTCCTACTACAGTATGTGTGGCTCTTCACTGGGGTGCCAGGTATCGTATTCCTACTACAGTATGTGTGGCTCTTCACTGGGGTGCCAGGTATCGTAGGCCTACTACAGTATGTGTGGCTCTTCACTGGGGTGCCAGGTATCGTAGGCCTACTACAGTATGCATGGTTCTTCACTGGGGTGCCAGGTATCGTAGGCCTACTACAGTATGTGTGGTTCTTCACTTGGGTGCCAGGTATCGTAGGCCTACTACAGTATGTGTGGTTCTTCACTTGGGTGCCAGGTATCGTAGGCCTACTACAGTATGTGTGGTTCTTCACTTGGGTGCCAGGTATCGTAGGCCTACTACAGTATGTGTGGTTCTTCACTTGGGTGCCAGGTATCGTAGGCCTACTACAGTATGTGTGGTTCTTCACTTGGGGTGCCAGGTATCGTAGGCCTACTACAGTATGTGTGGTTCTTCACTTGGGTGCCAGGTATCGTAGGCCTACTACAGTATGCATGGTTCTTCACTTGGGTGCCAGGTATCACATTTTTCGTCACTACATTCTTCTTAATACAAATTGAAATTTCTCACACCAATGAGTTTAACAATACGAGGTGAGAGGCAGGGTAAGTATCTCTCTCACCTTCCCCATGCTATGAATGGCAGGGTAAGGTATCTCTCTCACCTTCCCCATGCTATGAATGGCAGGGTAAGGTATCTCTCTCACCTTCCCCATGCTATGAATGGCAGGGTAAGGTATCTCTCACCTTCCCCATGCTATGAATGGCAGGGTAAGGTATCTCTCTCACCTTCCCCATGCTATGAATGGCAGGGTAAGGTATCTCTCTCACCTTCCCCATGCTATGAATGGCAGGGTAGGTATTTCTCTCACCTTCCCCATGCTATGAATAGCAGGGTAAGGTATTTCTCTCGCCTTTCCCATGCTATGAATGGCAGGGTAAGGTAGTTCTCTCACCTGCTCCATGCTATGAGAGGCAGGGTAAGGTAGTTCTCTCACCTGCTCCATGCTATGAGAGGCAGGGTAAGGTAGTTCTCTCACCTGCTCCATGCTATGAGAGGCAGGGTAAGGTATGTCTCTCACCTGCCCCATGCTATGAGAGGCAGGGTAAGGTAGTTCTCTCACCTGCCCCATGCTATGAGAGGCAGGGTAAGGTATGTCTCTCACCTGCCCCATGCTATGAGAGGCAGGGTAAGGTAGTTCTCTCACCTGCTCCATGCTATGAGAGGCAGGGTAAGGTACTTCTCACCTGCCCCATGCTATGAGAGGCAGGGTAAGGTACTTCTCTCACCTGCCCCATGCTATGAGAGGCAGGGTAAGGTACTTCTCTCACCTGCCCCATGCTAGGAGAGGCAGGGTAAGGTATGTCTCTCACCTTCCCCATGCTATGAGAGGCAGGGTAAGGTACTTCTCTCACCTGCCCCATGCTATGAGTTGCAGGGTAAGGTACTTCTCTCACCTGCCCCATGCTATGAGAGGCAGGGTAAGGTAGTTCTCTCACCTTCCCCATGCTATGAGAGGCAGGGTAAGGTAGTTCTCTCACCTGCCCCATGCTATGAGAGGCAGGGTAAGGTACTTCTCTCACCTGCCCCATGCTATGAGAGGCAGGGTAAGGTACTTCTCTCACCTGCCCCATGCTATGAGAGGCAGGGTAAGGTACTTCTCTCACCTGCCCCATGCTATGAGAGGCAGGGTAAGGTACTTCTCTCACCTGCCCCATGCTATGAGAGGCAGGGTAAGGTAGTTCTCTCACCTGCTCCATGCTAGGAGAGGCAGGGTAAGGTACTTCTCTCACCTGCCCCATGCTATGAGAGGCAGGGTAAGGTAGTTCTCTCACCTTCCCCATGCTATGAGAGGCAGGGTAAGGTACTTCTCTCACCCGCCCCATGCTATGAGAGGCAGGGTAAGGTATGTCTCTCACCTGCCCCATGCTATGAGAGGCAGGGTAAGGTAGTTCTCTCACCTTCCCCATGCTATGAGAGGCAGGGGAAGGTACTTCTCTCACCTTCCCCATGCTATGAGAGGCAGGGTAAGGTACTTCTCTCACCTTCCCCATGCTATGAGAGGCAGGGTAAGGTACTTCTCTCACCTTCCCCATGCTATGAGAGGCAGGGTAAGGTAGTTCTCTCACCTTCCCCATGCTATGAGAGGCAGGGTAAGGTAGTTCTCTCACCTTCCCCATGCTATGAGAGGCAGGGTAAGGTAGTTTCTCTCGCCTTCCCCATGCTATGAGAGGCAGGGTAAGGTAGTTCTCTCGCCTTCCCCATGCTATGAGAGGCAGGGTAAGGTAGTTCTCTCACCTTCCCCATGCTATGAGAGGCAGGGTAAGGTACTTCTCTCACCTGCCCCATGCTATGAGAGGCAGGGTAAGGTAGTTCTCTCACCTGCCCCATGCTATGAGAGGCAGGGTAAGGTAGTTCTCTCACCTTCCCCATGCTATGAGAGGCAGGGTAAGGTAGTTCTCTCACCTTCCCCATGCAATGAGAGGCAGGGTAAGGTAGTTCTCTCACCTGCTCCATGCTATGAGAGGCAGGGTAAGGTACTTCTCTCACCTGCCCATGCTATGAAGGCAGGGTAAGGTACTTCTCTCACCTGCCCCATGCTATGAGAGGCAGGGTAAGGTAGTTCTCTCACCTTCCCCATGCTATGAGAGGCAGGGTAAGGTAGTTCTCTCACCTTCCCCATGCAATGAATGGCAGGGTAAGGTATTTCTCTCACCTTCCCCATGCTATGAATGGCAGGGTAAGGTATTTCTCTCACCTTCCCCATGCTATGAATAGCAGGGTAAGGTATTTCTCTCGCCTTTCCCATGCTATGAATGGCAGGGTAAGGTAGTTCTCTCACCTGCTCCATGCTATGAGAGGCAGGGTAAGGTAGTTCTCTCACCTACCCCATGCTATGAGAGGCAGGGTAAGGTACTTCTCTCACCTTCCCCATGCTATGAGAGGCAGGGTAAGGTACTTCTCTCACCTGCCCCATGCTATTGAGAGGCAGGGTAAGGTATGTCTCTCTCCTGCCCCATGCTATGAGAGGCAGGGTAAGGTACTTCTCTCACCTGCCCCATGCTATGAGAGGCAGGGTAAGGTACTTCTCTCACCTGCCTCATGCTATGAGAGGCAGGGTAAGGTACTTCTCTCACCTGCCCCATGCTATGAGAGGCAGGGTAAGGTACTTCTCTCACCTGCCTCATGCTATGAGAGGCAGGGTAAGGTACTTCTCTCACCTGCCTCATGCTATGAGAGGCAGGGTAAGGTAGTTCTCTCACCTTCCCCATGCTATGAGAGGCAGGGTAAGGTACTTCTCTCACCTGCCTCACTCCATCACAAAACACTACACACCATTTCTCAAAGAAATTTACCATTGACATACCCTGGATGAGTTTCGAGATTTATCATGCTGCTCCAGCCAGGCTTGCCTTCTTTAGGTGTGAAGTCTAGTGTCCTCACCTCAGGGACGTTTCGCCCATGTACAGTTTTAGTTGGCGAATAGAAGAGAATATAAGAGAGATAGAAAATATGAAGGAAAAACTAAGAAGAGAAAATAGGGAAAAGAGGGAATACGTTGAGGATACCTGAAGGATGCTTCCGGGGATCATGGCCCCCACGACCCAGTCCCAGACCAGGTCAACTGGAATAAGAAGAAGGGAGAAGGATAAGAGAAGAATATTCACAAATCGCTAAACCCGTAAAGGTCATTCAGAGAAGTAGTAGTGCAGGCTTCATCCTCCGTCCGGTAACAGTCATCCTTCTTTTGGCCAGCAAAACTGTTGGTACTGGCCTGGGAGAAGGGCGGAGGGGGTAGGAGAAAGGGGAGAGGAGAGGAGGACCATTTAAAGAGAACTTTCTAGCAATAACTTTGAAATCCAAACTATCACATTTTCTCTCTCCCTGCTCGCTTGATCATCAAGGTAAAGAACCGTGGCTAGTGGCCAGTAACTGGATTGTTGTTAGTGTGTAAAACAACTACTGTTGCCACCACAATCAACATAACCATAACATCACCACCACCACAATCAACACAACCATAACATCACCACCACCACAATCAACATAACCATAACATCACCACCACCACAGTCAACATAACCATAACATCACCACCACCACAATCAACATAACCATAACATCACCACCACCACAGTCAACATAACCATAACATCACCACCACCACAATCAACATAACCATAACATCACCACCACCACAACCCACATAACCTACATCACCACCACATCACAACCATAACATCACCACCACCACATCAACATAACCATAACATCACCACCACCACAAGTCAACATAACACTACATAACATCACCAACCACCACAATCAACATAACCATAACACACCACCACCACAATCAACATAACCATAACATCACCACCACCACAATCAACATAACCACTAAACATCACCACCACCACAATCAGACTATAACCATAACAACATCACCACCACCACAATCAACATAACCATACACACATCACCCACCACAATCAACATAACCACTACCACAACATCACCACCACAATCAACATAACCACTACCACACATCACCACCACCACAATCAACATAACCCTACTCACAACATCACCACCACCACAATCAACATAACCACTAACCATCACCACCAAATCACATCACCATACAACATCAACCACTACCACAACATCACCACCACCACAATCAACATAACCACTACCACAACATCACCACCACAATCAACATAACCACTACCACAACATCACCACCACAATCACATAACCATAACAACACACATATAACCACTACCACATCACATCACCACTACCACAATCAACATAACCACTACCACAACATCACCACCACCACAATCAACATAACCACTACCACAACATCACCACCCCACAATCAACATAACCACTACCACAACATCACCACCACCACAATCAACATAACCACTACCACAACGTCACCACCACAATCAACATAACCACTACCACAACATCACCACCACCACAATCAACATAACCACTACCACATCATCACCACCACAATCAATATAACCACTACCACAACATGACCATCACTACAATTATAAGGGAGAATAGCAAGTTAAAATGGATAAAGGTTGAGGAAAAGACAGGAGAGGCAAACGGAAAGATTAGTGGAAAGAGACAGTGAGGACTAAAGGAGAAGCAAGCAGAGGAACAGAAGAAGTAGGGAAGAGAAGGGGAGAGGAGTGAAGAGAGGTGATTCTCCTCAGTGATGCTGCGTGGTAACTGCCATCTTAAGAGAACCACTCTTGTTGCTTTCACCATAACCTGATTATGACTTATAAATATACCAGTTGGTGTGTGTGTGTGTGTGTGTGTGTGTGTGTACTCACCTAGTTGAGGTTGCGGGGGTCGAGTCCGAGCTCCTGGCCCCGTGTGTGTGTGTCGTGGCGTGTGTGGTGTGTGTGTGTGTGTGCGTGGTGTGTGTGGGTGTGTGTGGTGTGTGTGTGTTCGTGGTGTGCGTGGTGTGTGTGTGTGTGTGGGGTGTGTGTGTGTGTGGTGTGTGTGTGTGTGTGTGGGTGTGTGGTGTGTGTGGTGTGTGTGTGTGTGTGGTGTGTGTGTGTGTGTGTGGGGTGTGTGTGTGTGTGGGGTGGTGTGTGTGTGTGGGGTGCGTGCTTGTGTGGGGTGCGTGCGTGTGTGGGGTGCGTGCGTGTGTGGGGTGCGTGCGTGTGTGTGTGTGTGTGTGTGTGTGTGTGTGTGTGTGTGTGTGTGTGTGTGTGTGTGTGTGTGTGTGTGTTGTATGTGTGATGTTACCATTTTGTCCTAGGCACATGTCGATTAGACACTAGGTCTGTTGTATAAGCGTGTGTGTGTGTGTGTGTGTGTGTGTGTGTGTGTGTGTGTGTGTTTTGTTTGTTTGCTTGAGGTCGAGACTCGGCTCTCGACCCCGCTTAAGTCTATTTTGATCGGCATCACTAATTTCTGGCCTCCTGAGCCTTATCTACTCCTGAAGCTCTGTACTGAGTTTGCTTCCACCACTGCCTCGTCCCAGTCATTCCACTTCTCAACTAGCCT